TAAACTACACATTCTTAACATTAAAATTTTTTCGTGTCATATACACTTTAAATACTAATAAACACAAACCTTTTTACTAACAGTACGGGTAGACAGCTTTGCAATAGCTTTTTTTGCAGCTGATGTCAATCGTTTCTGAAATGTTAGAAAACAGTCAGAAAAATATGTAAATAAACAGAAAACTAGCAATTGGTTTTCTGAAAGATTCCTGTGGAAATAAACAGGCATATCCTTTCCTTCTGTAGTGGTATATATGCTTCAATTGAAACCTCAAAATATATAACAATAATAATGATAATAAAAATAATAAGAAACAACCTCAGAATACCCAGCCATGCACTTTGTTTTAGTATGAAGCAAGTCATTTGAAAAGGATGCAATAACAATAGAAGAACAATATAGGGATTAATATGTGCATATTAGCATTAGGCCAAGTTGTACTGTTACTATGGTCAAGATAATATGGGTTTTCCTTTTACTTTAGTTTCTAATTTTCTTGTTTCAAGTAGTTTATTCTCGTAGATATAGCACCAGGGTTACGTTCCATGCCCTGGGGATAGCATAGATAGTGATATAGCATTTAGAAGTTGACAACTTTCTTAATAATAATAATAACAATAATTTATCCTAATTAAATGTTTTGCCCAGTAACATCAAAATAGTTGACATTTTTTAACTGAGCCATCAAATGTCTATCAAAAACAGATTATTCCATTCTTTCTCCTCCCCCCAAAAATATCATAAATAAGAATAGTCATATATATACGACAACAATTAATCACAAGAATGTGCTGCAGATTTATCTTCTCGATTATTTTACATTCGAGAATTTTCCTGTGTCGGCCAAAAAAAATTTAATTCATTTCTGTTCTTCGCACAGAAGGGAATATATTTTAAACGATGTTAGTACCAAACACATACAAAAATAATAATACAAGCACGTCAAATAGGCGGAGGATCTGTGTTTCTAATTTATAACATAAAAATACAAAATAAGTAAACTTAAACAAACTTAAAGTCTTATAGTCCTCTCTAATGTCATACTTACTTCAGTTTTGTCGCGAGCATGGACATAGCGGAATCTTTGAACATAATAGAATACAAGCCAGGCCAATGAAATAACCATTAAAACGATAAAGGAGACAGAGACGAACAACACTGATGTCGGATTGACTTGCCATTTCGTGTGCGGCAAACCGACATTAATCTGTACGAAGAGGGTTTCGTTGTTCATCAACATCATTTCGATTAACTTTTCGCCGAGAGTTTTCGTAATGCTTACAGAAACAATAGATTGTGAATCAAGATTGATCATCTTCGGCAATTCGGATTCTTCGGTGTTGTAGATTATAATGGCGGTGGCGTTATGCTTAAAGGCGTTCGTGATTTTGTCATCAAATCGACAAGAACCCCTTCGAACGAGAGCAATCCAAGGTTTGTCGACATGAACTTGAAATATTTTACAACCATTTATATTTGAGTCACTCAGTTTGTAAAGCCAGCCACTAGCCTTTTTGATGGGACTTTGGGATCCATAAATTCCATCTTGGGGAATAGAAACACAACGTTTTCGTTCTGAGTAACAAATGGTTATGTTGAGTTTGGCTGTCGTGTACTTTGTCTGTTCTTTCTCCTCGTAAAATCCGCACACCAAATCCGCCCAGAACGCAATCGCAATCAAAATTTCAATCCCTCTCTTTCTTGATAACATTTTCCAGTAATATTCAGCAATTATTTAGGTGTAGTTTGAACGTCTTTTGCACAAATAAATGACCTTTGTTTCACAACAACACAAGAGAATACCTCTAAGTACACTTCCGCCATTAGTTTGTTCTATTATAAGGGACACGTGACCTCAGATCACGTGATACTTCTTCAACAATGCAACCAAATTCCGTTAAAAAACTCCAACAAAAAATCAAATTTTATAAAATGCCAAGTTATACGCAGGTAAGGGAGTTGAGATGATGTCTGTCATTCGATTTTAAAACAATAATTAATGCAGTCATGCATACGTACACTCATAAAGCGACAACGACAGTCCAGTGGGTTACCTGTGCTGAATTGGCTAAAAATTCCGATCCAGAAATTTTGACAGCTTAAAGTACAAACGGTGATCCACAAGAAGTTGCCTTCGATCTAAGATCAAAATAATTCATCGTCATTCGCTACAATGAAGTTTGTTTTATGCGTTTTAATGTCTGATTGCATAACAACGGCGCGGTTCAGAAACAATAAGAGCAGCTTTACACCGCATAAAACCCTTCCTCCCACGCAGGAGAAACTCTTGTCTAAATTGTCAGCGATTCTTGCCGCAAAAGTTAGAAACCACCTCTATCACATATAACTTGGTAACGGAAAATTTTAATGGGTGTGGCTTACCGTTATTTAACAAATAAAACGGCTTCTTCTGTTCTCCAATCAGTAATGAAACACGCAGGAAGTGACGTAAGCACAAAAGAACTAAGTGCTTTATTACTGAATGGAGCACGGAAGAAGCTGTTTTATTCATTTTATTATATAATTACTAATTTTTTTCGTTATTGAATTTATTTAGGAAAAATAAAAAAGACGGTTGCAGGATCTAGCAGCACTTCGCGCGCGCAGATGGCGTCAGCACTGTGCTCTGTTCACTAATAAAGCACAGGTTTCGACCAGTCAGCGGGCGCGTACAATCCTAACTATGTAATAATTGGCCTTAAAGTACCAATTCGCTAATATTGAATCATTTGGCTATAATTGATAAATTACGTCCGCGAATAACAATTCAAATTTGTTCAAGAAAAGCATCGTATTTATTATTATTTTCGACGAACTATATTAAAAACAAATAGTAAAAAAAACTTCCTTTATTAGAGTGTAAAAATAAAACATACTGTAGGCACCGATCCAGGATTCTTAAAAAGGGGGTGGTGGCGGTTACAGGATACCTAGCTTTGCGCCATTACCACAGGAAACCCATAAATGGTGGGGGAAAGATACTTTTTTTAAGGGGGGAGGGCTGGGGATTCAGAGGGGAGGGTCATCAATAAAAAAATTGTGCAAAAGGGGGAGGGTGACTAGTCACCCCCTCACCACCGCTGGCACCGCCCCGATGACATTACCTGACATTGCGTAGCACCAACACGAACGTTTTTGCAAAATGTCTCTCCGTCCGGAGTGCAGAAGGAAGCAACTGCACAGCTTTTATTTTTGGCGTAGATTCTCTTCTTTTGCTCTATTTGATACTCAGGTTTTGAACAGTTTCGGAGTTATTTTCTGGTGTTATGAATCTTTGAAAGAAGAAGCACTGCCTTGAGCGCACAGCCAACAAAAATTCGTTTAGATTATAAAAATCAAAGAAATAATACTCAGACGAATGAAACATGGTCTGAAATGAGAAAACATGCCACTGCCGGTCTGAAATGGATAAACATTGCACCATAGCTGAAAAGCATTCCTAATAAAGAAAAAACACTTAAGAGGACGACATATGGTCTAAAATTGATAAACATTGCACCATAGCTGAAAAGATTACTAGTAAGGAAAACATAATACTCAGGGGAATGACACAAGACAAGAGAATATTCTCTTGTACATGGTCTGAAATGGGAAAATATTACACCATAGCTAGAAAGTATTCCTAGTAAAGAAAGAAGTAATAAATGAAAAATTATTGGACCATACAACCTAAAAAGCATTGCAAGTAAAGTAAGCATTTCAGTAACGTAGAAGAAAAAGAAAAAAAGAGTTCCTCCCGCTCCCCCCTTTGAAAAAAACAACAACAACAACATGGATTTGAGTAGGTAAAGTTTCCGGTCACCCATCCAGGTACTGACATTCCTCAACCGGACTTGACTTACAGTCTACGAACGGCTCAAGTTTTTTCCACTGGACCACGGTTATAAGAGAATCAGCATAACAATACACGTGAAAACAATGCTCAGAATAGACTAGACTTTTTAACATTGTACTATCAACCGATTCCGTGCGTGGCAGAGATGCAAGGGATTAGCCGATATGGTCTGGGGGCCGGCTGGTCTCTCCCCTGATGCTTCGGCTAGAACATTTTCTTGCGTAATTCGTGCACCCAAGGGCAGAAGGATTTAATCGCCGTCATGTCCGAAGTCCATACGACGCCCCAGCTCTGCGGATGTCTCGGGGGTATGGCAAAGTGGAATCGACTTTTTGTATTTTTTCTTCCTCTTCGGTGGACGAGGGTTCGAGTCCCATCGCATGCACATAAAGTTTTGATTATAATAGTTTTGGTCATCAATTTTTTTCAGTGAATTCAAACACTCAAAGTTAGTAGTAGCTTTCTAGCACAACTATATTTAAGGAGATAACTGATTAAAGATTAAAGCTCTTAAGTGCCGTACAGAAGTGGTGATTACTTCCTGCCATTTCGCCTTACATTGCTTCAAGGGCACAGGCAAGGGGGCAAACCTACTCCCTACCCCCCCCCCTTGTGGAAATAAAGTGGCAGAGCTTTGAAATTTATACGGTAGTTTTTATTTGCTTTGCTAAGTCTTGCAAAATGAAAACGTAAAACCTAATGCCAGCTCTTTTTTTTTGCCTTGGCGTTTCGTGGTTTCAACCAAAATGTTGGATTTTTGAATTTCGTCCCCCCCCTCTTCGGAAAATCTTGGCTACGCCCCTGTGCACGGTCTTTCGTTGCCACTTTGCTAAGCGCAAGGTGCAATGAAATGCGCGCCCAAGTGGCAACCTAAGGCGCAATTAAAGTGAAAAAAGAAGGCAACATGGTTGGTCAAGATCTATTTTTCATCTTTACTTTCTAACATCATATATGTTAGGCTTTTCAGTCCACTCATTAATATAATATTACTATCTGGTAGCAATAAATATCATTAGAATAGTTCATGTACAAAGTGTTTTACCGACATAATTACTCCAATTTTTAGCTCTTTAAAAACGGATTCATCTGTCGGAAATCAGAACTTGAAGTAAAGAATCACTTGGTGACTTTTACGTACGTGTTTTGTTTAGTTTCAATTAAAAATTCAATCATCGTATTCTTATTTATACATTTTAAAGCAATTATTATTTCATTCTTGATATGTTTCATAAATATGATAAATAGACTTAGAAAAAGCCGAATTGTAAGATACCCCAGAGCTATATTACCAATATGAAAAACTCCCAAAAATAGAACCTTTCAAACCCATTTAAACACTGTGGCTAGCTTTAACTTTATAAACATTAAATCTATTGCTTCGCGAATTTAATGACAACAATGATGGTATTAACAGTGGCATTTCTACAGACTGGCTCTTAATACGGTTCTGAATTCCAATATTGGAATTTAGAAATTGATTTTTGCGGAGGGAAAACCTGTGAACCCTGAAAACCCGAGAAGCCACAGGAGAGACAACAAGCAACTCTACTCACATACGACATCGAACTTTCCAGGCTAATGGTTTTTATATCGGCTACCACCGACAGTTACATGCTCTTATTACAGCGTAATATGACATTTTGGGATGTTCTAATAGTTCTCACTTGATCATTCTCAGATTTCAACTAATCACAGTGCGTTTACCTGTTTTGCCGTCTGCCCTCATTACCAGGCTACTCTAACTCAACTTATGCGTATTTTTCTGGTTTCTTTGGACTAAGATATAATATACGTGCCTATAAGTAGCAGAAATACGGAAAGGAAGAATAAAAACAACTTCAGTTCTTCATTCTTTCAAGCTCCAATATGCTTAGTGCCGATCATTTTGTCCACTCATGCTTTGCGCGCCGTGTTCATCGCTCAGCTGGTACGTCCTTTAGCGCCGTGCAGACTTCTCACGATAAAACTGATATGTTGAAAACAAGTTAAAGCTCTTTTTAATTGTTTTTAGAGTGCTTTCAGTCTCACTGTTGAATAGGTGACGTCAACTAAATTAGATAAGTTAGTTAATATTTTAGCTGACGTCACCTAAATTTGAAACTACGAGTAAACAGCTACTGAGATAAGGGGGAGAAACGATGATACAAATGAATGTCTATTCACTCATTCTCTGGTAAAACAACGCCCCGGATTAGCATGACCGTTTTTTGGCGCGCTTTTACTATTTTAGGTGACGTCAAATAAATAGTTATCTAAGTTAGATAAATTTATCTAACTATTCAACAGTTTGGCTGAATGCACTCTATTCAGAGATTTTTATACGATTTAAAGTTGTTTSTGATAGTGACAAAATTCATTCAATTATCATTTGAGACTTTAATCAGTAGTCAAGACGCGGGATCGTGCCATAATGTCTAACTTCTTAGACAAACGCTTTAGTGCAGTTTTGTTTTTTATGGCAATAGCATAAATAAGTCTCCCATATTTCCTGATTCACCGAGACAAGATCTCTGTTTCGGAGAAATAGTATTTAGATTGACGCCTACCTTTCAGAACGAAAGCGCAATTAATTAAGTCACAGTCTTCAAGGGAAGGATTCGATGTCAGTCCATCTAGCAGGTGGATTTCAGTACCTAGACTACTAGACTCTTGGAAAATTATGATCTTTTCGCCCTAAATCTTCGAAAACAAACCCTTTCCTAACTGTTTTTGGCGACTGTCCGGCCTTTCCTGTGGTTTATGGCCGCCACAAGATATATGTTCAATTAAAGTCAATAAAGCCAATTTTGACTCAATGAATTATTATTCGACTTCCGTCAATCCTGATATTCGAGGCTGATCTATTCTCCGTCATATTTCGTAGGCTGCAAGAGTTTGCAGATCCAAGTATGTTTTTCATTCCTAGGTGACTTGACGTCATAACCCTCGCTGCTTTCATTAGGGCTGTAGCCACTTTTCGTCGATTACTTTCTATAAGAAAGACGCATATAAAAGAATTAACACCCGCATGAGAAAGMACTAAAAACCTGACGGTTAAAATGATAGTCGGCCATGAACATAAGGGCGGATAGTTCCACTTCCAGTAGAATGCAAGGAAGGCCATTAGGACATAATAAGGTCCAAAGAAAACCAAAAAAATCCCAATTACACAAACGGTCATGAGTGTGACTCTCCTTGCTACCCCCATTCTTTTTCTAGCCATCTGGGATGAGTGTACATGGCATTTGGTTTTCAGCTTGGAAAGAATGAGACTGTAAAGAATTATCATGAGAAAAAGAGGAATTAGGAAGTAGAAAAGGAGATTGAAAATCATGAATATRTTGTTTGAATCTTCAATTGCAAGTGAGCCTCTTCTTGGCCATTCCAAAATGCATTCTTTATTTCCTTGACTGTCTTTCTTGATGCTCATCGTAAAGAGATAAGTAGAGCTGGTCGCGCTGCCGATGACCCAAGTAGAAAYCATCATACTTTTGCGAATTTTATTAGATATTAGCTTGATCTTTGTTGGGTAAACTATAGCAAAGAATCGGTCAATGGTCATGGAGATTAGCGTGAGGACGGTGACGCTGGGGGAAAGATTTTYGAGGAAGGTATACACCTTACAAGTAAAACCACCCCACACAAGATCAAAGGGCCACGAGTCTTCCTGATTGTAGTACACTGCAATCTCTCTTGGCAGTATCACCAAAGGTATAATCATGTCAGAAATACCCAAGTTCAGTAAAAATACATCGTTACAGTTACTCTTCCTTAAACATTTGTTTTTCAACACCACGTAGATGAGTAACACATTTCCTACAAGAGCCAGGGCTAGGATCACACCCAGTACAGTAACTTGAATCAGAACCTCGTTCGACGAAAACGAATCGGCAAATCCACAACTGCTGTTCAAATTTCCTGTCTCCATTTGGCCACCCTAGAAAAAAAAAAAAGTTCTTCCTTGAGCGAAAAATCGCGTGAAAATGAAAATATAAAGTCGAGAATCATTGACGTAGTATTACTCTTACTAATATGTTACAGCATTGCCAAGCTACCGAGCGACTGTCCAAGCTCTAATACGTCTCGTTAGGCCTTTATCTACCAAATCAGGGGCGGCCGGAAGTATAAGTTCTATCCAATCAAAGCAGAGATGGCGGGATAATTCGGCAGCCATAGGTTGCTATCAATAGACGTCACTACCGGTAATAGCTCTTTTTCGATGGCTTGTAGAATCTTGGAGGTTGTTTTGATCTCTTGTTTTCTGGTTTCATGTCGTAGAAATAATCAAATACAATAGTTTGAGGACTCATTTTGATATCTTTTGACATAACATCCGCTAGTTGCCCCTCAGTCAACCGCTTGTTTGCCCCCCAGTCAACTCCAAAAAGTCACGTGATTGATAGTAAGCAATTCTAGCCACACTGAAGTTTACGACAAATGCGTCTTAAATATGTAGACTTGATTTTTGGTATTCTCTTTACGAAAAGTAATTTAAATGACGTCTATATTCGACATTGGCCAACACGAACGTTCCTGTTTCCTACGTGTGTAGAAGACAGATTAGATTTTTACCATAAAAGAGTACAATTAACAAAATAGAAGAAGATAWAGATGTCAAGAGGGCGTTTCTTCCTTTTGCCTTCCATTAATATTACGTAAAGGAATTAGTCGAAACGTCACAGCGAATTTATCGCGTAGTTATAAAAAGGCTAAAGACTTAAGAGAAATTCAATTTGCTACTTTCGTAATGCTTTATTTTAGCACTTTTTATATATTATCCTACTTCCTCTAGTCCTTTCTCACTTAATATTTGAAGTTTTAATCCTGAAATTGATATTGGAAAAAAAAAACGGAATCCATATCATATGACAGTCTCGGACAACTGAWAATCAAAGCTTCATGCGGACCAGCGTATAAAAGAGAATGGTTTTACAGAAAAATAGAGTGGTGTTATTTACTGTAACGTTGCTGTGGGATGGCTTTCCAACCAGATAAAGAAACATTAGAGTACAGTAAGTGTACGGTGCTAAATCAGTCAATGGCAGTAGCCATTTACTTTTCTTTTCTTTTTTCTTTTTCTTTTTTTTCTTTCTTTTTTTCTTATCTTTTCTTATCTTGTCTTTTTTCTTTTCTTTTGTTTTGTTTTATTTTTTAAACAACTGAACCGAATTGAAATAATGTAAACTGAGTTTTTTTCCTCTRCGAAATGTTATTACTTTGCTACACTACAACTATATGGAGTACTTCATATTCTCTTGTTTGCGATGATGACGTACTGAATGACTGCCACTTTCTCAACACACATGATTCTTATTAGGATTGACTTAATAAGCACACAGCAAAAATGGCTTCAAAATTAATTCTATTGCACGTAAATTATAGGGGAGATAATCGGTCACAAGTCAGAAMCAAGACGGAATCAAAGTATTTTTCCACGCATCCACTTGTCCTTAATTGCGGGCGACAAAAGGAGCACGCAAGCATAATCTTGACGAGAAAACGCCAAGGGGCCTGGGCTCGCGGAATACGAGAGACTAGACAGCTTTTCAGAGTTTTCGGCTTCCAAGTGGAATGTAAAGAATGCGAGGAATGCAKACTTACAAGATTAGGCCAGTGCTCAAATAGGTTTTCACGCGTACGTGAGGGAATTCAATCCGCAGGGATAACCTTCCTAAGCAGGCCAACCAAATCACTAAATACTCACTTGCATCTGCCTCTCCATATACTAATAGCTACTCAAGCCTCTCAAATAAATTAAGAATATCTTCCACCAATGTTCTAAGCCCGCACTTCCTAACCTGAGGTTACCCCTAGTTAATTATTTCTTATTAGTTATGTTGTAAAGCTTAATCCCAAGTTCCTGTTTGAATTGTCATGTTCGCTTCTAGTTTATGGAGTTTYCGGTTAAGTAACTTCCTTTTTCAAAACTCGAAATTCATACTGGTGGCTTCCGTATTGATGGACTGCAAGCATTTCCAAGAGAGTCAAAAGACAAAAAATAGCGGCCATTGCGGTGCCGTTAAAAATGGATGCAAATGAGAAATCTTTTGTTAATAAATGGCAMCAACCCAAGGGCGGATCTTTTAGGGGGGGGCTAATTGAGTTTCTTCCGTCAACACAACGGAAAACAAACAAAAAACATCTAATTCTTCAGTTTTGTTTTTAGTTTTTTTCTGCTCAAGGGGGACTTCAGCCCCCTTTTGCCCCCCCTGGATCCGCCCTTGCAACCACATGGCCACGATAACCGAAGGTGCAATCGAAGAATTCAATAATTAAGTTTGTGAAGTACCTCAGACGTCAACACTTGCGTAACCGCAAGTAATGAAAAATCAACGCTTTGACAAAAGAGAATCGAATGGAGGTTTGTGTAACTAGAAGTCACCAAAAACCGGCCAGCGAAGCTTCGCCGGTTTTAGTCGCACGCGCGTTTACTAGTACTTGAGATACTTGCCATGAATAGCATATGTTGACCTAATGGTCTCTTGCAGGCTTAATAGCTTTATTTTTCCAATTCATTATCCCTCTTTAGTACTTGAGTATATCTGTCGTTCAAAATAAAAATATGCCGGAAGGCGGTTTAGCTTTTTCATCATTTTTCAAAAACAGGCTTTAGATTATTGAATTCGAAAGCTTCACGTTAAGGATAAGATGAAAAAGCAAAATTTAAAGATAAACAATAGCTTTTCTCTCTAATCCAATCAAAAAYGTACAAATTCGTATATTTAATAACTTGAATATCACGTGCTGTTTTGCTAGTGCAAAAATATTTTTCGGTCTCGTGCTAATTGGAAAAATATATATTTATGGCCATTTAGAACGCTAGCCATTAACGATACTCCAAATCAAATTATATAGCTCTTCCAAACATCAAGTTTATATATAGCATTCATAATTAATTTTAAGTTGTTTTTTTCTCTTGATCTATGCATGGACGTCACTTGGAAAAAAATACACTCTCACACTTTTTAACCCAACTCAAGATTTACACGTATTTTTGTGTCTTGAAACCGATTTAAAAAGCGCTTTTATGATCGCATYTTATGATTAACTTGCCATTCCCCATACGAAGATCTTCTTTGCCGCTTTGTTATCTTCCCCCTGAAGCTCAGTTTAGTATTTTGATTTAGGAAAGGATGGGCGTAAGTTAAAACTGCTTTTCTAAGTCTTTGCATATTGTTTCCATCCATAACTGAGAAAACAACTGATTCTTTTCAGTTTTAATCCAAAAGTGAAAACTTTAGAAAAGGATAATGGCTTGGAATGCCACTTAAACGTTTCAACAGCTGAACAGTTCRCCGCACTGAGAAGCTAATTTCACTAACAACAGTTCATAATGATATTTTTTTAGCTTTGGATGAAGGCCACACCAAGTTTCGGATACTTGAACACCATTATGCAGTCCAATATTCTTTGATCAATTTTTTTCTTGGTTCTTTTTGCTCGGACGACGCCTCAAAGTTTAAGCATGTTTCAAAGAGAGAACTTTCAGGCATTGCCTTGCTTTACATGTGGCCTTATGCCATTTTCGTAATTTGTTTTYACATTTGATCTGAGACCTCCCCATCACAACGATTTCCCCTGATTTCAACCTTTTTCGTGATGATTTTATATTTTTCCTGATTTCCACCTTTTCATGATTGTATATCAGTAGCGGTCGGTACAGTCAGTACGACTTGTGTGCAAAGTGGCTGGAGATCTATCAACTACTTGAGTTTCATTCAAATCCGTGAGGGTAAACGACTGTGAAGTTCGTACTACGATTCTTTTCATTTCTATAAAATTAGCCGTTAAACCTCTAGCTTTTTCTACAGCCACGGTTATCTGTCGTCGATATTTTTCAATGAAGATAAAACATACGAACGGGTTGACAGCCGCGTGCGAAAATGTTAAGAATCTCACAGTTAGCATAATCTTTGGCCAAGAACAGATCGGAGGGAGATTCCATTTCCAGTAAAATGCAAGCAGAAGCATGATAGTAAAAAAGGGGCCCCACAGTAAACCAAATAGACCAAYGATAATGATGGTCATGATGGTGACGCGGCGTGCTGTTTGCATCCTTCTTTTAGCCATGTCTGATGAATGCGCCTCGTTCTTGGCCTTCAGCTTCACACAGATGATAGAATAAAGCAAAGTTAGCATTACCATAGGAATAAGAAAATGAAAAAGCAGAATAAAGATGGTATATATGTTATTGGCTTGTTGGGATACGCTCGGCGAGTCACTCCATTCAAGAATGCACTCCTTGTCTCCTTGCGCGCCTCCTATAACACGAGTGAAGCATAAGAAAGGAGAGTTTACTACGCTAGCTATTGCCCATGTTGAAAAAATCATAATTTTTCGAGTTGTTGGCGATAACATATTGATTTTTATTGGGAAAACTATGGCATAGAATCGATCGATCGTCATGCAGATAAGCGTTTGRACAGACACACTTGGGGAAACGCTCTCAAGGAAGGCGTAAATCTTACAAGAAAGGTCGCCCCACACATCATCAATTGGCCAAGCAAAATCTTTCGTGTAATAAACTGTAATTTCCCTTGGTARGATTACGAGGGGAATGATAAGATCAGAAATAGCCATGTTCATTAAGAACAAGTCATTGTTTCTTCGTAGTTTTTTCCTCAACACCACGCAAAGGATCATGATATTTCCGACCAAAGACAGGACGAGGATCGTGAAGAAAGCGACGATTTGAATCAGGCTTTCGTTCGACGAAAATGCATTAAACCAGCAGTTACTTGAGAACATATTCGCAGAAGCATTCGTTGATCCATTTTGCTGCTCCATGGTACGAATCAGCAAATATGCTYGCTTTGGAGTTGAGGTTAGTCAAAGAGGAAACAATGTGTAGTTACTTTCGAAAAAAACTTGAAACGAAACCAACGCGGCGGGGTTGCTTGAGTCAGCGAGTCTCGACGATTCGGTATAAAAAAAAACACATTGAAAATCTCAAGACAGATTACGACGCCACCGTGACTAAAAACTTTTCTCTTCGATCTGTCGCCGCAAGGAAAGAAAACATTCTGTACAGGGTGTAATTATTTAGCTTTATGTCAATCTGTCACTAGAACATTTTGATTATCTATTCAAGGAGTCTTTTCTTAGGATTCGCCGTAGCATTTTATGATAAATTCAAGCACATCTAATACTCKAGGATCTACGCMCCARGTGAATTAGGTAAATTAAAGGTAGTTTTGGCTTTGAAGCAAAGTTTCTGTTTTTAGGRTGCATGTTACGTCATATATAGCCGCCAAGATTATTAAAGATAACAAAGCATTCCTCATTAGCTTTTCATTTAAATAAACGAATGTGGCGGCTGTTTCATTGTTATTCATATCTCAAGGGAGCTGATTTAACTGACTATGGTTGAGCTCCAACAATATATATATGTATATTGACTCACCTGGCTGCTGGCACAAAAAAGCACTTGCAGGACACTCAAGAAAAGACGAGAAGCCAGCGGAAAGCAGCATTTTTWATGTCCGCCGAAGAAATAGCTATTCTGTTCTTTACTAAGGAAAATACAATAATAAAAGTACTTGCCMACTGTTCTATCTGCAAGGGATTGAATGCCACTGAGAACACTCAAAAAAAAACTTAAAARAAAGCAAAATATTTTTTTTCCAAAGAAAACAGCCATGAAAAACTGGCTTGCCCCCTGTGGTGTGCTGTTAGCATCCGGTACAAAGCACTTGGGTAGTAGTGGTTTTCAACGAGAGAAATGTCGAGAAATATAACTTTAAAATYAAGCAAAAACGAACGATTAACAGTTCTAAGGGGTTGCTGGTTGTTACATGGAAAGCCAATGTATACCTTCTGTAATTTAGAACTATTTAGATCTATTTAGACTTCACATCACTTTATTAATTCTTGCCTTGGAATGGTTTACACCTCGGATCCAGAAACCAAACACAAAGCGAGCTATTTCTTTTTCTGTTTCATGACTGAATCACAAGAGCAGTTGAAGACTATACTCTCTCACTCAATACTAATTAAATTCTTATTTTATTCTCAGAGATTTCTTAAGTACTCCATTTATATGTCTCGCGGCATTCCCAGGGCGTTTATCTTTGGACTATAAAGCCCCGTTTACATTGGCGATTTTTGCAGTGATTTTTGCTGCGATTTTTGTGGCAAATTTCGGCAATATGAAATCTTTTGTCTCATCCTACAAAAGAGACATTCGTCTAGGAAAATCTTGGTATCCTGAAAAAAACCTTAAAAGGAAATTCTTTACCATTATTTATTATGGACAAAATCGCAAAAAATAAATCGCAGAAAAAATCGCCGCAAAAATCGCTAGTGTAAACGGAGCTTAAATCATCGTTTATCGAATTTAGACCATTTATSAGTCATATGATGATATTACGTCTAAACATATTGAAAGCTCAAATATATACTGCATGATTCTCCGCGTACACCTTAAGGAGCCATAAAGACGACTAGAAGACACTACACCACGAAAAATAAAACATCCGCCTTATGAGTTGTAAACCACGTATTGAATGGAAATAATTGTGAAAACTATCGAAAATTACATAGGGGTTACCGTAATCGCCAAAAGATAAAAATTGTAATCAAGCATTTTAAACTGTAGGCTTGACCTTTCGTGGCTGGAGTAAAATCAAGTTGTAAAATTTCGAACTACAGTCTTAAAAACTGTTTTATGCCATACTTATCAAACTCAATCTGGAACTCCAATTCCAGTTCCGGACTCCGGATAATTAGCTTGTTGTTTAACCACGTTTTAAAAATGCATGCACATTCACACGGCTCGCTTTAAGATAAAAAAAACGTAAATACAGGCTAATATTTGCTCAAAACCTCTCTCATAATTTCTTTACATTTTATAATTTATCGATATTTTTTAATGAATCACCATTTTTTTGAAGAAAAATTAAAGGAGATCAAAACGCTTCGAACGGCAACTGAGATCAAACCCTGGAATGTGCGGSGTAGCAAATTATTTATTTTGCTTCTTAAATCAAATAGAATCTTAAAATAAATATTGCTATGTACCTCATGTTCCTTTGTGAATAGACTTTGAAGCCAAAACGTACACTTAATATAAATACATAAATATAGGCTATAAGACTATATACTGTCAAGTTCAAGAGAATAACGAGTCATGCTGAATGAATAAGCCTTTTTCATAGTTTAAGAATCGATTCCACTGCGCATGCCATTTTATCCCGAATTTCTCACCTTCTTTTGTTTGATTAAGAACAAAAGAAGGTTTAGACAAAAGAAGGTAGAAATTCGGGATAAAATCACATGCGCAGTGGAATCGATTCTTAAACTGCATGTGAAAAGGCTTATTTGTTTATACTATCGCTTATCGTAATTCTGACTCTTGAGACCCTGTTCTCCTCATCGATATTCGCTTGTTCGTGCAGAAAATACTGCTCGAGCAGATGAATCATGAATAGTTAACCAAAACAAGCTATTGCCCATGAAGTTCCTTACATACATACATACATTATTTGTAACAAGCTTCCGCTGATGTGGACCTCCTATCTACTACAATACAATCTAAAATATGATTAAAATTTATGAGATCTACCCCTACCCTTGAATACTTAATATAATAATAACATAATTAAATTTAAATATCCTATATAAAAGTAAATATAAATAAATAAATACACCTAGTTGCGAGTCCCTAGTTGCAACAAGGTTGCCACAGGGAGAAGGAACTCTTGCAACTCAGTGAGGAAGGAATACATTAGAAGACAAAAGAAAGGAATTTTCCTTCAAAATTCTTAAAAATAATCGCTTCGAAATCATCGCTATCTTCTCGGCTTGAAATCCTTGTTTACAAAATTGATAAATTAATATTTCTAGTTCGACTGTCTTGAACTACGGCATATTACACTTATTTACAATTCTTTTTCTTTATTTTACAAATAATGAATTCATTATTTTACTGAATAAGTTTACAGTCTATTATTCACTTCGATACAAACAAAAAAATTTCTTAATTTTTTTTGGGTTGACTTAAAAGTACCAAAAATTGACCAGTAAACAAACGTAAAGCTATTGTACACTACAGCTTTGCTACAATCGTTTTATATACATATGATCTGTAAAAAAGAAGCAAAGTATAGCCTACATGACAAGAAGCACTTAATCTCCCATATATTACTTCAGTAACAAGCGGAGAAATGCTTTTAGTACTAACCATTATAAATCTTATTAGTAATCTACTTAGAGCCACAGTTTTCTTTCCAAGCATGTAGCCACTGATATTGATGCTCTGGTACTCTTGCTTTTGTGGKCAATGCTTTTTGTCATTCTTGGTATTTTGAGACCAATGAACTAGAGTTAATCTAGAAGAGAGAAATCAAAAACCATTCATCATCTGGAATTTGAAGARTTTGAATTTGATCTGGAAGGCTCAAGAAATGAAATTGTTCTTCACTTTTTAGTGAACTTCCGTGCAATTAAAGTGTTTGCAGAAGACGAAATGATCACTTGTTATGGCTTCGATTCTCTGTGCTAATTACATAATATTTCTTGCGCAAGTGGTCTGTTAAATTAATGTACCATTTAGGTACCTTCTAGAATCTCAAGCATCAAAGGCGTGACTAATTTTTCATTCATTTAATTCAGCCATTCAAACTGAAATTTTTTAATAAGATTTTTCACTTTCATGAATGCCACCGATAATTATAGATTCGTGCTAATGTGTTTTCTAGATGTGAAAAATGAAGAAATTATGATCGAGGGAATTAATGTCATGTCGTCGTACCGAACCAGCTAGAAACCAGATACTCGATCATTCGTTCATTCGTTCATTCGTTCATTCGTTCATTCGTTCATTCGTTCATTCCTTCATAATTCAATTTTCAGTTAAATGAGTAGGGTCTGGGCACGACAATGTTAAAGAATGAGTTCATTCTCGTACCCAGACCCTACTCATTTGCAATTGAAAAAAAACAAAGTTTGATTTTTGACTTTTTAAGCCAATTTTTTAGCAAGAAAACCTCTAAAATATCTTAATGATTCCCACAATGGAGTTATCAGGTAATATTTCGACTATTGCACCAACTTCACATCCAAATCGTTCAGCCGGAAGTAAACCTCACGAGACCAGTGTGACATCCTTTCTTGTATCTCTTGGAATCAATGGATTGATAGCAATTATAGCTCTCCTACTCTTTTCACTCCTAAGAACCAAACTCAAGTATATCTATACTCCACGTTTGCTGTTACTTGATACAAGATTTCCTCTGGGTAAACTACCTCGTTCCCTCGTGTCCTGGTTTATCCCCGCTTTAATGGCCAAAGACGATGACGTTTTCAACTACGCTGGGATTGATGCTCTGGTTTATATAAGATTTATGAGACTCTGTGTTAAGATTTCGTTTGTGTTACTGCCTTATGGATTAGCTGTTTTGCTCCCTTTGAACGTGTACGGCGGTGTTGGCTTGGCAGGCCTTTCTAAGCTGACTATGTCTAACCTCAAAGAGAACTCTTCAAAAATGTGGGCCCATTTTGTAGCTGTTTGGGTCTATACTCTCGTTATATTCTACATGTTGTATGAGGAGTGGAGAGTGTTTGTTGTTTATAGACAAGAGTATTTAGCAAAAGGACTTGACCATCAGTATGCTGTGCTGCTCAGAGATCTACCAAAAAGGGTAAAGAGTTAATTATACCCAAWTTTCTATTCCTTTTATTTTCCATTTATTTTTAAGTGGTTGATAATGAATGTTGGATGGAAGGAAAGTAGTAATTAACTGAAAGGTTTAAAGCCTAAGGCCCTGGCTAAATGAGGAAACATGTTTCCCTAAATGTTTCCTGAGGTGGCAAAACTGTCAGGAAACATCAGGAAACRATSTTTCCATGCGTCTTGGAAACATGAAATGTTTTTGCCGCACAGCAAAAATATTTTTTGTGTCTTGGAAGCAAAACAAAATTTGTTGCATGCAGCAATGTTTCGCATGTGGCTAAAGTGGGAAACATTGAGTAAACATGTTTCTGTTTCCTCTTTTAGCCAGGGCCTAAGAATATTTTGAAATATTTGGTATCTTATAATTTGTTTGTTTTCTTATTTGTTGTCCATTTTTTCAATTCCCATTTTCATTTTTTATATGGCTAGGCTTTTGAAAATTTATTTACTACTACAGTAGATTCCAGTTRTTATTTTCGTTTTTTCATTAAGCTTATTTCCATAACAAATTTATCTAACTTATAAATTAAGTACCTAATGGATAAATATATATATCTCATTCATAGCTTCGCAAGGAGGAAAACATGAAGACATACGTCGATGAATTATTTCCTAGTCAGGTGAGTGAATACATGCCAACCGTATACCATTAATGCCATAAAAGTAATATAAAATGTGATTTAATGCAAATTTATTCATCTCCTAAGTACTGATAATCCCCRAGTAAGCAGCTAATGTTCAATGTGATCATACCATTAGCTCTTTGACTCAAACGGCACTGCTTCTTAAGAGGGTWTAAAAGGTCAAATGACACAAATTAATATAGAGAAACTAAAGCAGACCTCTGTATAATACTAACTTAGAAGGCTGTATATTCAGCAAACCTCAGCACAATGTCTTCTAAAATATGGTGAGCAAAAACATTAAAAAGGAATATGAAAATAWTGTTTCTATAGAGCTCTGTGTTAGATGATGTTGTGTTATTGTCCTAGGTTGAAGATGTGGCAGTGGTTGAAGACCTTCGTAGGTGGGATAAAATGATTTCAATCCATGACGAACTTGTGCTAAAGCTAGAAAAAGCAAAGGTGCATTGATAATTTTGATAGTTCATATTCATTTTAGTTCATATTCATTTGTTYATAAATGTGGATAAACAAAAATTAGGCAGTAGACTGTCATCGATCAAAATATATTAATTATGGTAGTTTACCATATACCTTTATGTACTCTAATAATTTATTTTATTGGTCCTTGTTGAGACTGTTGTCTCATTCAGCCCATCTAGCTTAATATGGATGCACTTACAATAGGGAGAATTTCTCTTGTCCATTAGATATCCAATGCCTTAAAAGGGACCAAAGAGCATAATTCTGATTGGGGGAAATTTTTTGAAATTGAGATTTAGATTGAAACTAGGTTTAATAATAGAATGATTGTATATTTTCAGTTTGTTTTTGAGAAGACAGGTAAAAGACCTTCACATAGGTCCAACCAGGGTCATTCTATTGGAGATTCCATAACATACTATGAAAAGAGGCTAGAGGTTAGTGTTAAATTGGCTTGTAACATCTTTTTACTTAGTTTTTAGGGTGTATTTAGTGTTTCTGATGCATCATTATTTATCTTACAAGGATCTCCAGGTTAAACTTGAAGCAGAGTTGCATAAAAAACACTCTGTACTGCCTTGTTCATTTGTCATTTTCAAGTCTCTTAAGTTTGCTACTGAATCCCTATTGAGAAAATCTGCCTTTCGAAAGAAAGGAAATTCAATGCCAGCTCCTGACTCAAATGATGTGATATGGGACAACCTGATGTTAATTCCTGCAAAAAGGTAAAATAACTTGTTTTCAGAATATTTTTACACTCCTTCTTTCCTTCAGYGCAACTGTTTCTGGTCAAGTGTTATTTCATGACATCAGCAAGCCTTGTAGTATAGGGAAGTCAGTTTGGGTAATGGTCAAATGCATGCCTTTCGTAGTCTATCAGTTTGTAGATGTGAGTTGAATAGGCCATTTAACRGATACCGTTACTTTAGAATTTGACTTCAGTCCGCAGTAATGAAAGGAATTTACACATCAACAAACAATTGAAACACTTAAAAATTTTGCAATTTCTAAAGAATATATTACATGCTGATGAGGCCGAGGTTGAGCCACGGGATCTGTGAAATGGTCTATTGATTGGTTTTCTTTCTAACCAACTCTAAGCTGGTTTTTCTGGCAYGAACCATAACTAATTCAAACTGATTACAGCTGTGATTGAGAGTTGTGCATAGAATGTATAGCAGCTGCCAGAGGAACCTTTACTTATTTTTAGTTTGACCCATGCCAGTTGAGCTGGATCACTGCTGTATTTGCAGTAGTGATTGGTGATAAAATAACCAAATCATTAACCCCAGTTATAGGACGGCAGTTTGTATATAGCTTAATAAACAGTGTGCCTACTCTTACTTAATTTTGCAGGAAATTCCGGGCTTTGGTTATAACATTAATAGTCATGCTTACTGTGATGTTCTACTTCATTCCTGTTGGAATTGTATCTTCACTTATTGCCCTGCAAAACTTGGAGAGAAAATTTCCCTTCTTGTCACACCGTATGTATAATAGCAGATTTGTTGCACCAGTCGTTAATCTAAACCACCCATTTTTCCATTCATTGACCCATCTTTCCGTTCATCCTGCCATCTTTCCTTCCATCTACTAATTTTTCCATCCATCCATCTTTCCATTTGTCCTACCATCTTTGCATTCATGCACCCATCTTTCCATTCATTCATCTATTTTTCCATTCATCCACCCAACTTTCCATTTATCCATCCATCTTTCCATTCATCCACCCATCTTTCCATTCATTCATCCATCTTTCCATTCATCCACCCATCTTTCCATTTATCTGTCAATCTTTCCGTTTATCCATCAATCTTTCCATTCATCCTGCCATCTTTCTGTCCATCAACTAAYCTGTCCATCTGTCCATTCATCCATCTATCCACCMATCCTTTCATCCACCTCTWTATTTCTGCTAATAATAACATGTTCACTTTCTGTTTCAGTTGAAAGCTTGCCACCAGTTGTTKTAAGTTTTATCGAAGGATTCTTATCTGGCTTGGCTTTGTTGATTTTCTTTGCAATTTTGCCAATGGTAGGTTGACATTTTAAATGACCATTAAAATATAAATGTCATGAATGATGTTTCCATCTGATATACTTTTCAATTCCGTTATTTTAAAGTTTATGAGGTTCTTGTCAAGCAAGCAAGGATTTGCATCCATGAGTCAAGCAGAAATTTCAACCCTCAAGAAGCTATTTATATTCAAGGTAAGTGTAACCATTAATATAATCCTGCCAATAAGAACGAAACAAAGGGACTGGATTTTAATTGCTTTTAACTTTATTTAATGATATAATAATAATAATAATAACTTTATTAAAACTTGACTTGCAATTAAAAAGAGATAATAAAATTGAAAAACTCAAGCTATTTATATATATGTATATATATATACAGTATAAAGGAGTCAATGTCTATGTTAGTCCCATTTCTTCACGGAACATGGTATGAAGTGGGAGGCATAAGGCTAATGCACTTGTCCTCACCTCTGGGGTCTCGTGTTTGAGTCCTGGACTTGGCTTCCCACATRTGTAAAGTTTTTTTCACATGCTTTCAGTTCGGCCTTGTTGAGCTGGTGACAAGTTTTTTCTTATTAGGTCTCTCCCTATRAGCTTATTCAAGGGTTTTTTCTATGGATTCTCTGGTTATCCCTGACATACTCTACTTTCACATCCCCATAATACTTTGCRTCTTTGGGGGGTAACCAGAGGGTAAAAGCCCACTTATTTTGCTGAAGGCTGATCAGACAATGTTGGCAATACCTTGTTTGGTATCCAATAATAAAATGAAGTAGTATAAAACAGAAAAAGATAGAAGCTTGAAGTCGTTTAAGGTAAATTTTAAACATTTTTTCGTAAGTCAATACATTTTCTGTAAAACCAAAACTCTTCATTTTCTGTACACACAAAAATAACTTGGAATAAACTGATAATCAGTATTGTACAGATAAAAGCAGGTATAGTATAAATTCAATTAAGAAACCTTTCAATTTGGGACAGTTTTTTGATTGGTTACCCCCCAAAGATGCAAGGCATTATGGGGATGTGAAAGTAGAGAATTGATGAGCGCAGACGTTGTTTTGATAAAATTTGGATTAGACCAAGAATTGTAGCAAATATAAAACATGCTTGGTGTTAATTTGCCCCAACCCCCCACCCTTAAAATAATGGCAAGTCCCAATAATGCTTATCTAATTTTTTAAATTTTTTTATTTAGGTTATCAACCAATTTCTTTTCCTTACTGCTGGCTCAGCCTTGAATAAGTTAAAAGAAATGAGCAATGATCCTAGTTTGATTCCAAGATATCTTAGCACGACCCTTCCTTCCCAGTCAACGTTTTTTATATCATACCTGATGCTGTGTTCGTTCACTGTTTATCCCATTGAACTCTTGAGGCCTTTCCCTTTGTTATTTGTTGCCTTCAAGAGAAAATTCTTCACACTTACTCCCAGAGAGGATCGTGAAATCTGGAGACCACCACCTGCTGCTTATGATGCTTTGGTATGTTTGGTAACTGTCTTTCTATCTAGCACAGCGGCCCAAGAGGGGTAGGGTGAGGGGAATTTGAAGGGGGACTTCCCATCAATAGGAAAAAAAAAGAAAATGTCATTCTCTCTCTTTTGTAGTTTGCAGATCACCTGTTGATTCTGATAATTGGCCTGTGTTATTCTGTTATGGCACCGATAGTGTCGATTTTCGTGTTGTTGTACTTTGTGTTTGGYTACGTGGTATGGATGTACCAACTGTTATGTGTCTACATACCTACGCATAGCAGTGGAGGGCTGATGTGGCCTGCCATCTTTAACAGGTAATCCACCGGAATCATGATGCCAAAGAGCAGTTTTCATATGACTTAGAAAAGCTCCCACGGCACGAACACGGTCGTGACACGACAAGGAATACACCAGACAAATCACTTTAAATGAGAATATACTCTCCATCCAATCAAATACCCAAAGTACGGCATGAACACGTACGGCGCAGGCACCGTCACACAAAGGTCATGGTACTGCCAGACCAATTACATTGTGCAAGAACAAATTCCCCAATCAAAATTCTAGAAAACATAACGGTCGCGGCAAGGCATACGGCACCGACTTTTTCACTTTTTCACAGTCATACGAAAACTGCTCTATTGTGATACTGAACTGTGTATTGAATGATGCGATTGATGGTGATGATTACTAATGGTGGTGATGAGAAGGGCAGTGAAGTTGAATGACAACTGATGATAGTAATGGCGATGATTGATTACATTTCAGRATAATCGTCTGCTTGATGGTATTCCACCTTGTGATGACTGGCATATTTGGTCTGAAGAAGATGGTTGTTATGCCGATATTACTAGCACCACTGCCTTTCCTYGCCCTTGGTTTCCTCGTATATATGAACCGCTCTTTCTCCCACTCCTGTAACTTCCTCTCTCACGAGATAAGCAATACGCTTCCAGAAGCAAGTCCAAGGATATTACAGGTAATGTTATGTAGGCTGCGTAGCCGGGCGCTTTGGGAAAAGGAGGGGGAGGGGGAGAGGAGGAGGAAGGGAAAGAGGGAGGGGAGGAGAATTTTTCAAAGGCAACGGAACGGAGGGTAGAAGGTCAGTTTTCATGCTCAAAGTTGTCTGCTAATTTTGCAGACCGTAACGCAAAGCTACATAAGAAATCACAGCCTACCCGAATGGAATGGCTTGAGTACTAACGCCACCAGCAGAAATATCACTGGATACGAAGAAATCCCAACAGCAAGTGAAAGGTCACCACTCCTGTCCCCGATTGACGTGCGAACCTCCTCAGATCCTGGTCACAATGAAGGTCACTTTCGAGTATAGCTTGTATTAGGTTTTATAAGGTCTTATAGTCGTATAGGGTCGTATAAAGGCCAGGCCTAATTTGTTTTGACGCCGTGCTATACTGAGTGTTGATATTGAAAATGAGTGTAACTCAACTATATATCACATAATTCATGCCCGGGTGTAATCATACCCCCCTCCCCCAAAACGACGAACAAATATCTTGGAATATTTGAAAAAAAGTCCATTATAGTAATTTAAAAAATTACGTAGTGAAAATTGCTAAAAATTTATAAGTAGAATTGATATAATGTATAATGCATATGTGTGTAAGAGTAAAGTAGTACTAGTGTACCCTAGCGCAACATCCATCGGTCAGTGCAAGCAGCGCATCATTTTTTTCCCCCACGCAACAACTGTTTTCATTTCACGCAAACAACTTAAGGTGGTCTTAAGCTGAAATGCTGTTGTTCTGAAGTGATTATTGCGTGCCTGTGATCTGTACATAATAGSCATTCCGAAGTTGAGGAAAAAACTAGGTCGAATTGACATTGCAGTGCATTGTGGGCCTTGGAAATAACATTTCAACCATGCACTGGAATGCCAACTCCGTCCAGGTTTTTCCTTAACCTTTCCCTGCTAGCAGAGTCTCCCTCTCCCAAGAATAGCCAACGAAGGAAACACTGCTAGCAGGGAACCTCAACCTCGGAATTTCTAATACAAGGAAAATATATACATTAAAAAAATGTGTTATTAATCGTGTTTTCTATTAGGCCTTTTCGGTTCTTGGTTCTGGCTTTTAAAAGTGCTCAGAAACAGAGTGCAAACCACATATCCGTGGAATAGAATAGCACAAAACTAAATAGYACTAAACACATGTATTTCTTTTGTGTCCAGTTGTTTAATTGGTCCTATTCTGTAATAATTAATACTATTTCACGGATGTCGTATGGTTTGCACTCTAAGGTTTAATATGACTTGACAAACGATTGTCATTATTTCATAAGTGATTTAAATAGGAGTGTGGGTGGCATAGTTTTTGGAATCCGTATTAAACTAGTATCCTCGCTTGGCCAAATCAACCAAGCACACCAAATAGCAGTGCCAGTACGGGCCGTGTGAGTGACTAAAAGACATCGGAAAAGGGAACCGGAAATTAGGAGTCTATCCATCGCGTACAATTGCACTCAAAACTAGGTCATGGCCGCCTTATAGTTGCGTTATAGTTTTACAAGTCCAGAATCGCCTTARKYCYT